ATATCAATCTTAGCACAGAGGAATTTTTATTTACCAAGAGAATTAAAATTAGAGAGGATATCAAAGGCTAGAATAATGTTATCATAAGCAACCCTAATATTAGTAAACCCTGACTAACTACTAGTAAACTCTATTATGCCGAAACCCTTTCTCTACTAGAGCCTTTTGCATATCCTGGGATAGGATCAAAGAACTCCACTTTCAAGCGAAATAAGATAGACTTCATCATATACTAATAGACAAGAAAGGACTTTAATTCCCTGCGATCAATACTTTTTTCATTGACCTTTCGTCTTGTGTGACCTTGCTTCAATGCGAATCCATAGTTTTCTTTCATAGCCAACAGGGAAGACGAATCGAATTTCAAGCAGAAATGGAAAATCAATATCGGGTCCTTTCCCTGAAGCAAGACCGCTAAGGCGCTAGAAAAGAGAAGGTGTGTGTGCCACGTGTACTTTCACTAAGACAAGTAAAGAAGCCACTCTGAAGTGAAGGAAGCCTGTCTGAATGAACCGCTCACTTTCTTGAGCTAGACAACTCCCCTATCTGATTTTCGTTTTTTCCTCTTGATCGACGGTCTCTCTATCTACATGAATGATATAACGCATAATAGATTTAAGCCTAAGAGTTATAATCTTAGGAATAATTTTTTTAAATGTATTACATAAAGAGATGGGTCTATAGTCTTTGATATGAGAGGCATGGGGCCCTATAGGGATAAGGGCAATAGCACTGAACTTAACTTTTTAGAAAGGATAAAGGTGTGAACGAAATGTTTAATGGCCTTGTAGACACTATTCCCAATCAAAAGCAAATTTTTTCTATAAAATTGAAAGGTGTATCCATCAGGGCCAAGGGTAGAGGAGTTAGGACTAGAAAAAATAACACTTTTTTTTTTCTCTTCATCAGATACAGGAGCAATTAAGGTGGGGATGTGGTGACAGGGGAAAGAGGAACCAATAGGGATATTGGCTTGATTAATAGAAACTTGAGGAGTGGAATTAAACAAAGTAGCAAAGTGATTAATCAAAGCACGACTAAGTTCACTACCAGAAGAGAAGGTCCCATCTTCAGTGGAAATAGTCTTGATGACATTTTGATTTTGCCTCACTATAATTTTGCTGAAAAGAAATTTAAGGTCATTCTCCCCTTGAATTAACCACCTGGCTTTGGCCCTTTGAATACCTAAAAGGCCAAGGAATCCTGGTGGAAGAAAAGACTATCATTAATAGAATTTAATTGAGAATTTAGAGAATGAGACAGGGGGTTATTATCAAGAAGATCCAAACATTGCTCTTGTCAATTTTGTAAAGCAGTGATTTTAGAGAAAAGGATAGCATAAGAAGCCTAATTTTTATTTTTAATAATTCTTTTAAGATTAGAAAGAATACTATACCAAATTCTGATAGGGTCACCATTAAAGTTACACGAGAGAATAGAAATGAGAGCATTCCAAAAATCATGGGAATTAACCTAATGATTTTTAAACATGAACATGTGATCATTATCAACTCTATTATTGAAGTCAATAATAAGAGAGGAATGGTCAGAGAGATATGGGCCTTCAACTTTGTAAGAAGACAGAGGAAAATTTTTATGCTATAAATCATTCACCAACACCATATCTAATTTAATATGAATGGGATTATCCAGCCTTTGGTTGAACCAAGCGAAGAATAACCTGAAGGAAGCCAAGTTATGGAGATCATTAATAAAATCATATTATTAAAATCCACAATTTACTAACACATCCACAAGAATGCCACCAGCTTTATCATAAGAGAATCTACAACAATTAAAGAAACTTAAAATTGCCAAAGGTTTAGAAATTTCAGCACCAATACAAATAAGATTTTGCCAAAAGAAATCTCTTTCATAGGGGGTGTTAGCAACATAAATAAAAATTAAATAACAAAAAATAATAATAATTCTTAACCAAATTTCACCATGAATAAATTAACTATCCATGCAAATATGGATAAAATTAATAGTGCATGCATTCCACTTAATCCAAATATAGTCAAGGGAGCAAAAATTAAATTATTACAACTATTCTCTGAAATGAACAGTCTATCAAAAGCAGAAAAACAAGATTTATTAATAGCACCACGAGAAACCTTAGCTTCCAAAATATAAAGTAAATCTAGATTATGAGAAGTAATAAAGTTTTTTCACATCAAGAATTTTTTAGGGCTATTAAAATCACGAGCATTCCAAACAACCAAGTTAGGTTTGAACATTAAGCTTTATGTTTATTTTTGGATCCCTTCTTAAACCCCTTAGCACGAGTAGTAATGGTTCCTTGAACAATAGCATTAGGAATCGAGTAGTCATAATCTCAGAAGATTCGTCATCTTTAAGAACATTAAATTTATTAGGAGAATGTAAGCAGTTAGGTTGTCCCATTACTATTGTGATACCCTAGAATCTAATTTAAAAGAATTATTATTTTTATCTTTTAATTTACACAACAAGAGTTATCTAATTTCTTTTATCAATCTAAATGGAAGAAGAAATAAAACTATCAAACATCTTATGGCAAAACCAGTTTTCAAGTTTGACTTATATTGACTCCTAGAAAAATTTATTTACCCGGGTAAAAATATAGGTTATTACAACTATATAAACAATAATGGAAGGGGGAAGATCACTAGTAGGAAACTTTAAATTTGGAATAAAAGAAAGTGTGTCGGTAGAGGAAGAAGCACAATCTTTAGCATTAAAAGAGTTAAACTTGTCAGATTTAGACTTATTATGTTGATCAGAACTGGAGGAAACAATAGAAACAGGAAGGAAGCCTTAGCAGCGGAGTTACAATTTAATTCAACACCATAATTTTCATCAACAAGAATATTAGTGTGCTTAGAGGAAGCTTCGACATTAGAAATAGGATGAGCAGCTTCATCTAAAAGATTTGCATCAACTATATAGACCCAAGAGGGACCAACCCTTAATAGACCTAAAAGATTAACAACAAGTTTTGGGATGTAATGACCAAGTATTTTAGATTTGGACCTAATCATATTCCCTTCAGGCATCCTATTAGTGCTTCTACCATGATTAGAAAATTAATAACAACAATAGGATTAGGGTTAGGGTTAAGGTTTTTTAGGATAGACATTAGAGGGATGAGCAAAGGAGCCATAATGTTTACAAACTTCTAGTTTCCAGTCGTATTGAAAACAGAGTTTACATAGTTTACCATTCTGCGAGATCCAGATTTCATCATATAGATTAGATTTCCCATTCACCTTCACATAGACCCTAGCAAAAGTGAGACCGGATCTCTAAGTTGTTAGCCAGTCAACATCCAACGAGATACCTATGTAGCTAGCTACCATAGATATACCTTCAAGGTTCTAACAAGCAAGAGGAATATCATGGATTTTAATCCACGAGGGAATCAAGGTTACTCTTCAAGTTTAAGAATGAAAGAGGGAGACCATTTTTATAAAATGAAAGGTTTACTAAATAAAAAACCAAGGCCCCCCGACTAGATCATCTCATAATCTTTGAATTGAGTAAAACACAGAAAGAAAAAATAATTCAAAAGAGAAACAAGAGACGTACTATTTTTCATATGCCAATTTTTTTTATGACAAAGAGTAAAGCCTCATAGTAATGATGCTTATTAAGAGAGTAGCCAATAAGAGAAGTTTCCAATGTTGCACACCGTTCACAAGCCGATCGGAGGAGAAGTTAACAACATTGTCGTTAGGAGGAAGAAAAGAAATAGGAAAATCTACTATAGAACTGTCCTGAGAAGAAAGTTTAACCTTCCATTTGAGGGGAGCAATGAGAGTATCTGTGTTAGGGTTGGCAGTCTTCTACGAATGGGGTCTCGATCGAGACCAAAGGTGAAACGCCAAGGATGGAGAGGGGGTCCCCCCACATCCATTTAAGAAATATGTGACCTCTGGCTGAGCTGGAGGAGGAAGGTAGGTGGATGAAAAAATGTGTGACAGCTAGGGTTTGTGAAGCCCCAGAGTATTCAAAATAAAATATTTGGACGAGTATCTAAGATATTCTTTTAGGGTTTAGAAGTATAAGAGTTAGAAATACATAATATTGCAAACATCTTCGAGACCTAAGATAGACTACCCAAAAGAAAAGAAAAGCAAAAATATCTATTAAGGTGTCAAATCTGTTGTAAAGGGACAATGGAGACAGAGTAGTGGAACTAGTGCAATAGCACAATCAAAGAGAGGTAGAATATCCTCAAAGTATTCACAACAGCCATGCAATTAGTATCTGTGAATTTAGCAGGCCTGTAGTGGTATTGCACCTTGTGGGATTTCTATAATTCAATTCTCTCATTTTAAAATGCCGTTACAAGAAAGCCCAACTCTAGCAGTAGATTTTTTTCCTTCCGACCATGTTAAAATATTAAAGTTTGACTTCTACAATGAAGACAAATTTGGGGTTGTTTGGTAGCAAGAAAGATTTGACTTTTTTTTTTCTACCTTCAATTAAGATTTAGTAAATATTGTAAATCCAAATTTAATAAGTCCTAGAGACATTAAATATTGAAAATTATTTGCACGATAGATGTAGTTAATTTCATCAAACCTTAATAAACTATTTGGCATATATAGCAAAGAGAAATAGAATAAATATCCCACTTTCCCTAGGTTTATGAAATCCATCATTTGTCAATTTGGGTTTTGAGAGGATTTATGCTGTTAAAAGAACTAACTGACAAAATTTAGTTGAAATCGTAGTTTTGTTTGCTAAATCTTGCAAGTAAATAACCCCTTAGTGAAAAAAATCTTATAAGAATATACCTGAAAGACTTCTATTAGAACTTCTTGTCTTCATCCATCTCTATCATAAACAGATGCAAAGACTTCTATCATGAAAAACAAAGTCTTCAAAGTTCTTCAATCTTTATGATGGAAATTTTTTTCTTCATGGGATTTCTATGTTATGGAGATAATGATAATGATTGTTTGACTTATTTTATTTTATTTTATCTTATTATTTTGGCAGAGGATTGGGCGGCCTTAGGAACCTACGATCATGGTTAAATAATCATAACTCTATAATACAACTACTTGCGAGAATCAAATCAAATGTTTTTTGTCTGCTCTTTTTATTAGTAGGGGATATCATATGTTACAGTCTTTTGTTTTCTAAGCTTATATCTGATTTATTGTTCAATTCTCAGGTACATGACTAGTTCTGGACTAAGTGGTGAGCTTCCAACTTCTCTATCCAATCTTACGGCCATGCAAGTATTGTAAGTTCTATATGCATTAAAATTTTGAGTTTACAGAATTTGCTTCTGATTTAATAACAATAATTAATCCAGGATGATGCCAGACAATAATTTTACAGGCAAATTACCAGACTTCATTGGAACTTGGCAAAACCTTAATGATTTGTAAGATTATCTTTTATAGCTCTCATGCTGTATATATATAAGCCAAATTTATTATCCATGATTAGAATTGCATACAAACAAACTTCTAGAAAATAAATTAGAGGTTCTCACTTCCATATGATGTTTCGATAGGAGGATACAAGGGAACTCCATCAGTGGTCCAATTCCTTCAAGTTTTTTCAATCTCTACAACCTTAATGATTTGTAAGATTCCTCCTTTAAACTAATACTACAACAATATTTTTATGTTAAAACCTTCCAACTGTCAACTAAGAGGTTATATAATTGTTTATAGCCTCATGATTAATTGTTCACAAGTGGATTATTTACACCTGATAATTTCATCTTTTATTGAATATTTATATAATAAGAAATACTGAATGCTCTATTCCAGACGCATAGGAGAAGTAATAAATGGGAGTTCATCACTGGCATTTATTAGGAATATGACAAAACTCAACACACTGTAAGGCTTGTTGTTTCTAATCGACAATCTACTATCCTTTTTTTTTAGCTTGGTGCATAACTATGACATGGTATAAATTTAACTCCATGCAGGATCTTAAGGAATGCCAAGATTTCTGATACTCTTCCATCGGACTTTGCATATTATACACAATTACAGACATTGTAAGTGCTTTAATTCCTTTTTCTCTTTTATGTTTTTTTTTTTTTTTAACTTCAAAATGAAATTGATGTAGCATTTGTGACTTGGATGCAACTTGAATTTTTTTTCTTTTTTCTCTACGAAGGGATTTGAGCTTCAACAACATCACAGGCAATATTCCAATGTCTCTATTTAGCATGAGCAGTCTAATTTTGTTGTACGAAATGACTATTTCAGCATACATATAAGTTTCACTTATATTTTTCAATATTACAAGCATAATTTATATTTTTTTCTCTATTATCACCCTCAACAGATTCCTTGGGAATAATAGCATAACAGGCACATTACCTGGAACAAAGAGCTCAACATTGAGTAATATGTAAGTATACAAGTCACTTAGTACATAATTTTCTCCCTAGCATATTAGCAGGGTAAATTTTCTTATTATAGTAACAAAACTTATCATGTTATGCTCTTTGATGAAATGTAAGACTTTCAACTAAATATCAGTTCCTTTTTAACTCCTACAGAGATCTATCATACAATCAATTGTCAGGGAGCTTTCCATATTGGGTCAACAATTCAAACATAGTGCTGTAAGTCGTAGAGAAAAATTATACTTTCTTATTTAGAAATTGCAATATTCTTTAATCATAAATGTCCAATCATACCATTCCACTAATTCTTCTCTTTATGTGCTTGCAAAGATGTCAATTTAGGGGAGGGGTGGGAGTTTCATTGGTATTGCCATCTTAGTACAAAATATGTATATACCTATAAATAGGAAACATAAGAGAAGAATTAAAGAAGATAAAATAAATGATAATATCTTCAATAATGATTAAATACGTTAAAAATAAATCGTGCATATTCCAAAATAGTTTAAACATGTGATGATTTAAATATAACATTTTCATGTAAATTTAGGGTGAGATAAAGGTTATTAACTTGCATTTGAAAAAAATAGTGACCAAAGATGAAATAGTCAAAGGCTTTGTTGCACAAAAATTATAATTGTTGTTAGAGGAGTACGATTATTCAAGGAAAGATAGAGTGACCTTAATTGAAAACAAAACATTGATAACGAGACCTATGCCAATGAAGGCATGTGTAAGATCCTTGGAGGTATAGTGCTATAGAGTATCGATGGAGTTCCTAATGAAAAGTGTCACCATAGAGTCATCATTGCTATTATCATTGGAGAACCAAGGATATCACATAGCTTTATAGACCTACAAGAAATTGAGGGGGCTAAGTTTTCTGGTGGTCAATGATGAAGATCAAAAACTATTTGAGCAGTCTATTTGTGAATTGGAAGATAAATAACCAGGTTTACACTACAATATGTATTAGAATTTAGAGGGTTTAAGTGGTAGATCTAGATATATATAGCTATGAAATCATATTGTAAGAAAGAAAGAATCATAGAGGTCTACACCTTTATTAAATTGTCATCTTAATACAAGCATATATGTGCTTATATCTAAACAAAAAAAAATAAAAATAAAAAATAATCACGAAACATAATAATGGAGAACATGCTCAATAATTATAAAATATAAGAATAATTAATAGTATCGATTTCAACTATAAATAATTAACATATGTAATAACTTAAATGCACTGACAATTTTTTAAGCACTTCATAGTTCTTTCCTATACTAATTTTTGTTTCATTCCAAACAAGAAGAAAGCCATAATTTAGAATTTAGTTTTCTTGGTGATAGGAACTTGGTTGCCAACAACTTTGTCATAGACAATTCCAATAACAGGTAATTACTTTCATTTTCCTTATTGTGTGAGTTAAATTTCATGTTGATTCATACTAGAACTTGAAATTTATCTATAATTTTACTCTCAGTGTCTTACCTTCAGGATTAGAGTGTCTTCAAAGAGACATGCCATGCCATAGAGATTTGCCAGCTTGTAAGTTTCTCTCCACATCTTCATGCATTTTCTTCTCCTCATGAGCTATAAAAGTACATTTAAAGTATTTTGAACTTGTAGATCATCAATTTGCAATAAATTGCGGTGGAGCTGAAAATGTGACGAGTTCTGATGGAACTAACTTTGAGATAGATAATGCTAATCTCGGTGCATCATCTTATTTTGTGAATAATGTAAAAAAATGGGCAATAAGCAATGCTGGAAGCTTTATAGATGCCTCAAATCCTAATGCAAATTATATAATTAGTACTCAGATCCAATCCCAGAACACACTTGATTCAAAATTATTTGAGACTGCAAGGATGTCACCATCCTCATTAAGATACTATGGCTTGGGACTTGAAAATGGGAATTACACAGTAAAATTACAGTTCTCAGAGATTGGAATACCAGATCAACCCACTTGGGCAAGCTTAGCTAGAAGGGTCTTTGACATTTATATACAGGTAAGCAAATTAATCATGGAGAATGTCTTGTTTGAATTCTTATAAAGGATACGGAGCAATTGATCTTGATTAATTTAAAGAAAATGATAGATTGTGAATTGGTTTTAATTGGTTAGTGTTAAATTAGGTAAACAATATAAAAAAGGTTAAAATTAACCTTTATACTTTTTAAATGGTAGTGATATATATTTAGAATACTAGTCTACTTGAAACTAGCATCTAACAATATAATAAGTAATTAAGCAGCTTTTATTATTTTCTATATTTTACAGGATCAAATATATAATTTCAGGGCATGCTTAAGGAGAAGGACTTTGATATAAAAAAGGAAGCTGGTGGGAAATCTTTTACAGTAGTCTTAAAGGAGTACCAAGCTCATGTAACAAACAACTTCCTAGAAGTACATTTATTTTGGGCAGGAAAGGGTTCAAATTTTATTCCTAGTTCAGGATATTATGGGTCATCCATTTCTGCAATCAGTGTATCTCCTTATGGTATGCATTTTTATATGAACTTTTAATTAAAATTTCCTCAAAACCCCCCAAATTATTTTATCACTATCGACGTTTACAGACTTCATTCCATCTGTGAGCAACAAACCCGTACATTCCTCTTCATCAAATAAGAATACAGCTCTAGTTGTAGGGATTGTATGTGGTGTTGTGGTTTTGGGACTTACCGTGTTTGCGATACTAGTGTGGAAACATAAACAAAAAAATGTTAAGAAAGTTAATGAAGGTAAACTTCTTTAAGTAATCTGAAATTTTTTTATTATTTATGAATGTATAATGTTTGTATTTTCTTTTGAATTTGACTACGTTAATATGTCAAATAATACAGAGTTGTTAGGAATGACTGCCAAACCAAATATATTCAGCTATTCTGAATTGAGAATAGCAACTGAGGATTTCAAACGGTCTAATTTTCTCGGAGAGGGAGGATTTGGACCTGTATTCAAGGTTTGTTTTGCCTATATATGACAATGTTAAATTTTATTTTACCACATAATTATTATTAAAATAGTATAATGTTATCATTTTTTTTATCTTTCAATATCATAAGTGTTTCGCCAGCGAAATAAATATGACATTACTTTTCAAAAAACAAGATGAGAGTAGAGTGCATTTAATTTTCACCTAAAATTATATAAGCACATTGTTAAAACTATCAAACCTCCTTATACAACTACATTAATCTTGTGCAAACTAATTATATGACTTGTAGAGTTCATAGTTAAATGGATTTATTTGTTTCATCTAAGGGTAAACTACATGATGGAAGAATGGTGGCAGTAAAGCAACTATCAATAGCATCTCAACAAGGGGAGAGACAATTCACGGCAGAAATAGCAACTATATCAGCAGTTCAACATCGCAATCTAGCTAAGTTGTATGGTTGTTGCATTGAGGGAGACAAAAGACTCTTGGTTTACGAGTACCTAAAAAATAAGAGCTTGGATCAAGCTATTTTCAGTATGTTTTGAAATAACTAGTAGCTTGGAGCAACAATTTGAGAAATTCCTTTATTTGACTGGTTTCTTTTTGCAGGGAAAAAGGATTTGCATCTTGACTGGGAAACACGCTTTGAGATTTGTTTGGGAGTAGCAAGAGGCTTAGCCTATCTTCATGAGGAATCAAGTGTGAGAATTATTCACAGGGATGTAAAATCTAGCAACATTCTATTAGATGGAAATCTTACCCCAAAGATATCAGATTTTGGTTTGGCAAAGCTTTACAATGATAAGTGGACTCACATTAGCACAAGAGTTGCAGGCACAATGTATGTAAAGATTTGATGTTTATCTTTAACAATTTTTTTTTTTGCTGAAATTTCAGTCATTCTTTATTTTTCTGCATCATTTATAATTCAAAATTATGATATTTGTAGAGGTTATTTGGCACCTGAATATGCTATGAGAGGACATTTAACAGAAAAGGCAGATGTCTTCGGTTTTGGAGTTGTTGCTCTTGAAATTCTCAGTGGAAGGCGTAATTCAGACCCCTCTCTAGAGGAAGAGAAAAGCTACTTACTTGATTGGGTAGGCAATGATTTTTGAAAAACATTTCTTATAAATTAACAACTAAATTATCATTTAATATAGAAAATGTGATGAAAGACAAAAAAACATTCAATGACTCCTTGATTTAAAGAAAACCAATAGATAGAAGTTTGAGAATATTAATTTTAAATGACTAATCAAATGCCTTTTAGAGAGCAACTACAGATATTACAGGTTCTAATAGTATAAACTTACTGGAAAGGTATCCTCAATCACTTTAGTAATATATCAAACTATTTACATGAAGCAAAAGAAACAGCTATAGTGATAGTTCTATTCAGAATTTACATCATAAACGCTTATATTTTAACATTCTTCCCATTCATTCCTCTTTCATTCACTTACCCAGTTTTATTAGGGATAATTTCTTACTATTTTTTGAAGTTGTTAGAGAAACTAATTTTTTAAATTTTTTTGAAAGCAACAAAAAAATAATGGACAAACAAAATTATGATTATGAAAAACTAACTTATAAAAAAGCTATCCCAAACAAAACCTAAATTTGAACATATAACATAACGTGGTACCTAACATGATCTTAATACTTATGTTTCAGGCTTGGAATTTATACGAGCAGAAGCATGAATTGGAGTTGGTGGATCCAAGTCTATCATCATACAATAGAGATGAAGCTACTCGAGTAATTGGCATTTCTCTTTTATGCATCCAAGCATCGCCAACATTACGGCCGGCAATGTCGACAGTGGTGGCCATGTTGGCCGGATTTATCGAGGTTAATGAGGTCACCTCAAGGCCTAGTTATTTAACAGAATGCCACTTTAAAGATATAAGCAGCAATTTGGCTAGTGATGATTTTTGCAAATCAACAGAACTGAGAGAGACGAATAGCCAAGTTAACGTGCCATCAAATCAAGATAATGTGGATCTGTGATTTAAATGGGGACTAAACCTTCAGCTAATGCGCTGTTAAGGGAAAACTCTGTTGGGAAGGAAGAGGATCCCACTTGTTGTAAGGTAAAACCAATGTTCATCATTTATAGTGTACAGAAATTCACGCTTTCTTAAACAATTGGTCATCCTCCATCACATAGTTGCACGAATCATAATGAATTATGAGCGGCTATATAAATTCAATGTCGCATGTAGAGCTATTTTTTTTTTGGGACATTTAGGCCATTTAAGGCAAACTCACACACACAACGCATACACATAGACTCGAACCTTGGACCTCTTAGTTGGAAGCTTAAGCTCTCAACCAATAGGCCAAGGAGAGTTGTGTTTGTAGAGCTAATTTAAAACGTAAAACAAATACAAGCCATTAAAAAACTAAGAAAAGGTGGGAAGAATTTTCTCTACATTTAGGGTTTATTTGGGATAATTTTTAAATATAACAATCATAACTTTATTTAGGTACTGGTTACTAGTAATTTTTTTCAGAAATTTTTTGTGGTGAAAAATTATTTTTTGGAGACCTTAGTAGCCAAGATATTTTCACTACAGTAATATAACAATCCGTTGAACTCTGAAGTATAAGACAACCAAAATAAAAGAAAATAAAAATAAATGCTACATACCTGCCGCTGCCCACGCCGTTGCTACAGTGCCCATCCCGATCCTCCTCCAAAAATCCTGTTGCAGGGCAAATCCTATCGCAGCTCTGCAATGACGCCCAACTGTCTCTTCGCACAATATTCCGCGCTAGCCTCGATCGCAGCCTCCGACCATTTACTTCCCTTCGCATTCCTCTGCCGCAAGCTCTAACCCCGGTTTTCCTGCACACGCCAGAAGACCCGCGACACCTGCTTTCTTCCGTCTCCTCCCGAAACCGACCCAGCCGATCCTTCTCCTCTTACTTCGCCTCTGCAAGCCGCAAGACTCACGAATCCTGCTTCCAGTCGAATCCCACTGACCTAGCCTTCCGCAACCTCAAGACCGAGCATCAACCTACGACACTAGTGCCGACCAGACCGACCTCCTCAAGTCGCGATCCCCACCTGGTTCGCAAGATCTCCCTACCTTCCACGAAGCCGAACTCCAGCTCTCCTCTGCGCTTGCCATATCTGTCTCCTACAAGATCCGGCCGACTCCTCTCTGCCATCCGAACTCCACTTGCCGCCGCTTCTCCTTTTCGTTCTTTTAGGGATTTAAATTTAGTTGCCTACACAACTCTTCTTGGCCCATGGGTTGAGAGCTTAGGCTTTCAACTAAGAGGTTCAAGGTTCGAGTCTTTGTGTATGCGTTGTGTGTGTGAATTTGTCTTAAATGACCTAAATGTCCAAAAAAAAAAAATAGTTGCCTAAACTTGCTCAGCCCATCTATCCTAAATCAGTCTACCAAATTAGCAAACCCAAACCCCATTCAAGTTTACTCAATCTCCTCACTAAGCCCACTCAAACTCACCTGCCGATTTCTCAAGCTCCATCTAATCCTTTAAACTGAGGTGATCTTTCTTTCTATAATAAACTTGTATTAGTGTAATAGTATAAATACTAATGTTAATACCGTTATTATTAGTATTACGATTATTAACATTGATATATCATCAAAAAGTTATCTTAATCGGACATGAATCTTGAGGAAAATCAAGTTGGAAACTTTAAAAATTAAATTTGAGATCATTTGAACTCCGATTTCATCAAACTTATAATCGAACAAAGCCCTACATAGAATCCTGGTTGGGTATCCATGCTTTACACAGACAGGTTTCGCCCACCTACGCCCATACATAGTGACTTTCGGGATATCGTACCCACCTATACCCATCTACTTTTCATGGTTTTTGAACGCAGTCTGTCACGAACTGATAGCCTTGAGGCTTGTTGCCCTTTGCTTTGATTGCAAATTTTCAAGCCGCATATCAGAATTTACCATAGACATGGCTTGATTAAGTGTTGCACAATACATAATGATGATTGAATTAATAAAAGATATACGGGTGATTAGTAATGTAAATTAATTTATTCCCCGATGTTGAGTACTCATCCATACCCACTCACAAGGCTATGAGCGTACCCATACCTGTTGGGTATGGGTGGGTACATGGGTGGGTGTGGGTATGAGTATCCAATGGAGGGCTATGCAATTTTATTAAACGTCGCGAAAATATGAACCCAACGACACCAAATTTGACTCAATGCGAACAAAAATGAGTCCAAATCAAAGACCAAAAGCGCATTTGGAATGTTCAATCCATAATTTAGATTATCAAACATTTTTCAAACATGACATGATTACAGTCGAATCGAGCGGCTCGACGAGACGAATCCAACGAGTTCAAGATCATCAATTTTTTATATCATTAAGATATTCAAATGTGCAATAAATAGTTCATGATTGAGGGAATTCATATCGGTCGTCCATACAAACCACTCTCAAAGTATCCTTGATTTCCCTCCTATTTAATGGTCATGCCACTCTCATAAAATTATAAATATACCTCTCATTTTTCATGGGGGAAGAAGGGGTCAAGCAAGGAGGAAAAGAAGAGAGAATGAAAAAGATAAATCTGAGATTTCTCCTACCACCAGACTCTTCATCGGCCCTGTCGGACTTCTGCCTAGTCACCGATCGTCATCAAACTTTCATTGGACTTATGCCCGGTCACCTATTGACGCCAGATTTCTTCTCGGCCACCAACTAATGTCGGAATTTTACCCGACAACCGACTGACGCTGGACTTCTGTCTGGCCACCAACTGACACTGGACTTCTGCCCCGCCACTGACTAACTTCGTACTTCCACCCGGCCACCGACTACAATCTTTCCAACCTCTATTGCCCGCCAACGAAGGTCTTTCTGACCTTCGTCGTCCACCGACTACAATCCTTCCGACCTCCTTCGTCGACTATGGTCCTTCCGACCTCGATCGCCAGGAATGACAACAAACTAAACATGGGACTTGTGATCTTGGACTTGAACCATATACAATGGAATCAAATGAATTTAAACTTAAAATGGATTTGAACTTGAAGCAAATAACCATAAACTAGACACATACAGTGAATGACAAAGGACCCGAACTCAAATGAACTAAGTGCAAATAAATTTAACTTGTTTTGAACAATTTAAATAGGCAATTGAACTCAATAAGACTACATGAAATTGAACTTTCATGGACCACAGGGAATTCATTTGAATTGAGCTTGAATTTGAGCATATACAAGAAACATGATAATACTTAAAATGAGATTATAACTTGTAAAAGAATATGCTCTAGCATAAATGCAAGTGAACATGTATGTGATATGTGAACTAGGGGATTTACAAGCACCACTCACTTACAAGTAATTGCGGAATTGCAAAAGATGTCATTTAATAACATGATGCTTTCAATTGACTACATAACTTGCATATGAATGATGATAATTCTTCCACAATATTTATCTCAAGAATGTGATTAAGTTACTCTAAATGTTTGCAAAGATTATAAGGATATGCAATCAATGAAATAACATCTTTGCAATAAAATGCCAACATACAAACAAGCACGCATTGAACTTTATAAATAGTGAAAATTGAAAGGAATATGTAAATCGATTGCACAAAAAAGTGTGAAGTCCTAAGCAAACATTCCACCGACAAGTGACAACGATTAACTTGTAATGAACATTTCAATTATGTTCATAAGCAAACATATATAATCATAATGAATGATGAAAGCATTTACTATGCTGTTAGCAGGGTTGCATAATCTATGGTTAATGATAACACCAACAAACAGTAGGGAAAGATGTCACACCAATCAATGCCCATTAGCATGCGGCAATAGGCAATTGATTGATTTGCAATAATTACAACCACAAGAGAGTATTAATGAATTGATGAAGAACTTTCGACACAACCTACTTGTAATCAATAATATGAAATCTCCGGTAAAGGTTGAAGATCTCCAATGATATGAATGTAGTTACGCAATGTGCTGCAAACCAACAGGCATAACAAGTCTATAATACATGCAACCAATATAAGCATGAAAAATACATCATATCCATAAGCAAAGGGAAAAGGCTATCATGAAAGTTATTATGGCTACTATCACCAGCAATTGATCCGTAGACCAATGCACTAATTCAATCAATATCTACTACTTGTAGATGGACATAAAAGTTCCCTGCGAATAATGATAGACAACATATAATGAGCCTAATAACTCCATATGAGAATGATACAGCGTCTATGGACAAAGGCATTTAATATGTGATAAATGCTACAATTCTTTGCATTCGACATTAAGATATAAAAATATGCCTTCAAAACTTGAAAGCTACTGTGGAAGAGCAGTTATGAATACAACACCTCACCAAAAGTATAAGAAGGAGATTCATACATACACAGTGCGACGCATGGTGAATACAAGTACTTTCTAGCAATGGTAGGGGATTTATCATATGCGTAGTAGCATACTCACAAGTGACAATCAATAAGAGGCAATAAATGTTACGATATTCCTACAGTCAAGAACTGTGTAATGGAAGTCAGATGTAACCTATTAACAAGCAAATATTGGATGGAAAATGCAATGATATGTCTATAATCAATAGCAAGGAATCTCAACGAAACATCAAAGAATCATCATGTCAATTAAACTACAAACATTAATGGGAAAATCATTACGCAAGATACAAGCTATCTTCAAAGGCAATGAATGTCCTATGATATGTGACATGACTCATACACGGGCAATGACCAATGAATATTGTGGAGGATTTAATGACATACTTGTAACCAACAACATATAATCTTCAATGAATAATACAACTCATCCGTAACACTCATACAATAGGACAGAAGACGTCTATAAGCTCTCAAATAGAGCGTCATCCATACTCAAATGACAGTTGCCCGTACAATTGAAATATTCCAAAAATGCCCCATTACAATTGAATCTTCAATCAATGACTATCCTTAATCGAAAGTTCCCTCTCGTGACCGGGAGGGGTAATTAACTATAGGGGTTTGCAACTATAGGAAACCAAAACTCAGATCATAAATTCCTTGCAAAAAATGAGGGTGAAATCTCTTGGTTGTCTTATCTACATACTTAATTTGTCTTCTCAAAATTTACCCCGAAGCTTAATCTATTAAAACTCCTCCAGAAAGGCGGAGAGGCCGAGGCACAAATTTTTGGAGCCCACACAACCAACTTTATAAAACTCTATTGTTATCTCAAATAGACATTCAATATTAAAATATTTTATGATGCTTTCACTTGTCCTTGTAACTGTGTGGACAATATATTTGGGATGCTCATTTAGAATTTTTTGATAGTTAATATCAAAGACTCCTGCTTTGCTGAAGGGTCTGTTTGGGATGGTTGGATTTTTTTTTTAAAGATAACTGACTGACTGTAAAGATGTTATAGGAAAAAATAGACAATTTAAATACTGCTAACAAAATAATTTTCTAGCATAAAAATTGCTTGAGGCACCACGTAGTTGTTCGACAGTAATGATCAATCATTGGATTGATGATAAAGATCGAACGATGATCTAATGACAATGGATAATAGTCTGGTGGTGGTGCCCAAATGGTGCTTCGAGATCCTTGAAGCCTCGGTGCTCTCTTAAA